TTTATTATTAATTTTTTGATACTTAGTAATCATATTTGAGTCATAATTAATTTAAAATTGAGTTACGTTAAATCTTATATAAGGAAAACTTTTTTAGAATATATTTTTTTATTTATACAATTCAAATTCAAGATATTATTTAAGAAAAATCAAGTTTTTTTTACTCAAACTAATAATTGATTAGTAATTTTAAATCAATTGATCCTAAATAGAAAAACCTCTTGTAAGGACAGGTTCGAGGTGCCAAGCCTCGGACTGCTACAGTAATTCCTTTATGACCGAAGTGAGAAATGAATCCAAAGCTTCCTACTCAAATAGCTGCATGACAATGACAATAAGCATGCCCGCACCTGATTCCTTATGACGAGTGGCACAACAAGTATGGTGGACATCCGTGCATCTAAATACCTCTCAAATTCCCGGTCCCGAAATAATCGTCTGGATAGACACGTCAGGCTCCGATTATCCTGCTAAGCAAGCCACGTGGATACCTCACAAAGGCCTATAAATACCCCCAGGGGCCACCTAAGAAAGGTAATTGAAACCAACCCTAAGCTCTTTTTATCTCCGCTCTAAAGGTAGTCCCGATTATTGCTGACTTAAGCATCGGAGTGTCTACCCCGAGTTCCACCTCGGGGCTTTGTAGGTTTTCTCGGAGTGCAAGCGCGGACTGAAGGACTTCTGGTTTGGTGCAATTACATTGGCGCCGTCTGTGGGAAACGAACTGAAAGCTCGTTAGTTGCTCTTTCATCATGGTTCACACTCGATCAGTTCGAGCTAGTAACTCATCTCTGCCTCTTGGGCAAGGCCAACCCTCCAACAACCTTCCACCTCTGATCCCACCTCAAATCCCAACTCCACTTCCACCTCAGGTCCCAATTGTGTTCCCTCCTGTTGATCATGCAGAAGGAGGAGATGAAAACCAACCTCATGCCTCAGCTCACAATTCAACTTCCACTACCAACCAAGACGTAGTGACAGCTCAGCTTGCTGCCATGCAGCAACAGTTCGGTGTTTTTCAGTTAGTACTGGTTCAGCTTTTAGCCAGAAACAATCCTGGTGACCCCCTCATTAATTTACTGAACCCTACTCAACAACCCCTAGCTCCACAACAGAATCCTCAACCGGTTCAACCTGCTCCCGCTATTAGCGAATCTCAGGGTCAATCCCACATAGCACCTGCTCAACAACCCATCCCTGATGATGTTACTCGCCGCCTCGATAGCTTGGAAAAGCTAGTAGCTGAACACCGAGGTGCTCCACCACCACACCATGCTGCTGATTCTATACCTCACCCTCTGAATACCAACATTACACTGGAACCCTATCGTGCTGGCTTCAAAATACCACAACTGGAGACTTATGACGGGACGAAGGATCCCGATGATCATTTGCATGCTTTCTACTCTTACATGCAAGCTCAAAATGCCTCTGACGCGTTGATGTGCAAGATCTTCCCCTCTACTCTCCGAGGTAATGCCCGAACTTGGTATTACAGCTTACCTCCGAGGTTAATTAGCTCTTATACAGAAATGGCATCTGCCTTTGCCACTAAGTTTTCCAGTAGAAGGTTGATTAGGAAAACTATTTTTGAGCTGATGCGAGTTAAACAGAGGGATGGAGAATCTCTGAAGAACTATATGAGCAGGTTCAATGATGCAGTTTTAGAGGTCAGTTCCTTTGATCAAGCTGTGGGAATTGAAGCTGTGATCTTCGATCTCAAGCATGACAGGTTTAGAGACAGTTTGATCAAACATGCTGCCACCACCTTTAGCGAGGTGAATGATAGGTCTCTCAAATTTATAACTGCTGAGGAATACGCCCTGGCACAAAACCTACCTTCCTCTAAGAACCAGAACCCAGATTGGAGAGATGATAACCCAAGTAGGAAAAGGATGAGGATGGCGCAGAACCGAGGTTCGATGTTGACCTCCCCAACGAGAGTCGGAAGGTCGAACTCAACGCCCCCGCAGCAATCTACAGGTAAACCTCCAGTTAATTGGATTCCCTTTAATTTGCCGAGGTCATAGATTTTTATGCAGATTAAGAACAAAATGGATTTGAGACGTCCTGGCCCAATGCAAACTGCTGTTGCTAGTCGAGACCATACCAGATATTGTGATTTTCATCAAGATCATGGTCATACTACAGAGCAGTGTAACAGTTTAAGGTCCGAACTGGAAAGTTTAGCTCAGAAAGGAATGTTGAATGAGTATGTTCAGAGAGCTGAACAACCGAGGTTTGTCAGAGAGTAGAGGCCGCAGCCTCAAGGAGTCCGCAATCCCCCAAATAGACAAGGTGTGGGATATCAGCAGCCCCACCTCCGCTCTCACCACCAGCTAGAATCATACACATGATTACGAGAGGCCTTGAAGCAGGTGGGCTGAGCTTTAAACAGCGAAAGCTGTATGTCAGAGAGGTTAAGCATCAGAATTGAGCTCAGAAACGGAAGATTAACGATGCTGAGTGGAAAACTCAACCCATTACTTTCACATCTGCTGATCTTGATACAGTTGTTACACCCCACAATGATCCTTTGGTCACTTCTGTCATAATTAACAACTGTGAAGTACAGCGTGTCCTTGTTGATACCAAAAGTGCACCAGATATCATGTACTTCCATTGTTTCGAGAGTCTTGGGCTGGATCTAGCGTTGTTGCAGAAATATGATGGTCCTATTTATGGCTTCAACAACCAACCTGTTCCGGTGGAAGGAGTTTTTACCCTCCATGTGGCTTTTGGGAGTGGCCGAACCTATGTAACCCCTTCAGTCCGGTTCCTCGTAGTCAAAATGGCGTCCTCTTTCAACATTGTTATTGGCCGACCCACACTGACTGAAATCCGAGCTGTGGTTTCCCAGTCTCACCTCTGTATGAAGTTCCCAACTCTTATGGGAATAGCAACATTGCGAGGAAACCAGGAGGTGGCCAGACATTGTTATATCACCTCAGTAACACAACCAACGAAGGGCAAAGATCAGACACCAGAGGCCATTCCCCAGCGAATTCCTGATAATCAGCAAGTTATGGGTGTAGAGATCGTCGATAATCGACCGGACGATGAAACCAGAGCTGCTCCGGTCGAAGATGTTGAAGAAGTGCTCATTGATGACAGAGATCCGAGCCGAAAGACGCAAATGGAACTAGATTGAACCCGAAAGAGAGAGCTGAGCTGATAGCTTTTCTTTGAGCTAACAATGATGTATTCGCATGGACTTCGGCAGATATGCCAGGAATTCCAAAATCAGTGTCTCAACATAAGCTCAGCACCAATTCATTGAAGAAACCAGTGGCCCAGAAGCGGCGTCTCTTCGGGGGGGAGAGACTTCAGGCTATTAAAGAGGAGGTAGAGAAACTTCTACAAGCTGGTTTCGTCAGGAAAGTTGATTACTGCGAATGGGTGGCTAACCCAGTCCTGGTGAAAAAGGCAAATGGTAAATGGCAAATGTGTATCAATTACACAAATCTTAACCATGCCTGCCCTAAGGATTGCTATCCGATGCCGAGCATTGATAGATTAGTTGAAGCGGTTTCAGGCAATGAGAGGTTAAGCCTCTTGGATGCATATTCTGGGTATCACCAGGTGCCGATGGCTCCTGAAGATGAAGAGAAAACCTCATTCTATGCTGGCGATGAAATTTATTGCTATGTCATGATGCTGTTTGGCTTAAGGAACGCTGGTGCTACTTATCAGAAAATGATGACCATCGTCTTCCGAGCTCAGATCGGCAAGAATCTAGAGGTGTATGTCGATGACATCGTAGTAAAGAGCCGGAAAGCAGAAGACCATCTAGCCGATCTCGATGAAACCTTCAACAACCTTAGAAAGAACAGGATGCGGTTGAACCCAGCCAAATGTATTTTCGGCGTGGAGTCTGGAAAGTTTCTGGGTTTCATGGTGTTCCGAAGAGGGATTGAGGTTAATCCAGAGAAAATCAGAGCAATTGCCGAGATGGAACCGCCGAAATCAGTAAAAGATATACAGAGGTTGACTGGAAGAGTGGCAGCCCTTCATCGATTCATATCGAAGTCAGCAGATAAGTGCCTGCCATTCTTCAAGATCATGAGGTTGGCCGCCCAGAAGGATGAATCAGGAAAACAGAAGAAATTTGAATGGAGTCAGGAGTGCCAGACTGCATTCGACGAGCTGAAGTCTTATCTTAACACGCCACCTCTACTGACTAAGGCCATCGATGGGGAAATTCCTTATTTGTATCTGGGGATTTCAGATGAAGCGATTAGTTCAGTTTTGGTGAGAGAAGAAGCCAAGTAGCATAAACCAATCTATTACATCAACAGCGTGCTGCACGGAACAGAGCTAAGGTACCCTATAGCTGAGAAAGCAGCATTAGCAGTTGTCACTTCGGCCAGGAAGTTGAGGCCATATTTCCAGTCACACCCAATTATTGTTCTCACAGATCAACCTCTCAGGCAGATTTTGAAGAAACCAGAGTGCTCCAGAAGATTAATTAAGTGGGCAGTAGAGCTAGGAGAGTTTGAGATAACGTTTCAGCAGAGATCGGCCATCCGAGCCCAAGCATTAGCAGATTTCATTGTTGAATGTACTTCATGTCTTTCAACCTCTAATCCAGAGCCCAACGATTGGACCTTATATGTTGATGGAGCATCTAGCAGAAAGGGTTCAGGGGCTGGCGCTCTCTGGATTGGTCCAGAGGGATACCGAAGTGAACTTGCCCTGAAGTTCAACTTTGATGTGACAAATAACATGGCTGAGTATGAAGCTCTACTACTTGGTTTGCAACTAGCATTGGAGTTGAAAATCAGTGCAATTCAAGTGTACAGTGATTCCCAACTGGTGGTAAACCAAATCAACTATATCTGTGAAGTTGTTGATCCTCTAATGGTGAAGTATGTAGCCTTGGTGGCCGAGCTGAAGTGCAAATTCCAGAAATTCTGTCTGAGTGAAATCCCCCGAGCTAAGAATGAACAGCAGATTCACTCTCCAAGTTTGCCTCTGATAGCTCTTTAAGTTCCAGATCCGTTTTTGTAGAGATCTTAGATGAACCAAGCTTCATGAAGCCTCGGGTGATGGAGATTAGCACAAACCCAGACACGCCGAGCTGGACTGATTCAATCGTCTCCTTTTTGCGAGATGGGATAGTACCTAAAGATAGGCAGGAGGCGATGAAGTTGAGAAAGAAAGCATCTCGGTATACCCTCGTTGATGGGGTCCTGTATAAGAGATCTTTCTCACTTCCTCTTTTATGGTGTTTAAACCCCTATGAAGCTGAATATGCACTTCGAGATGTGCATGAAGGTGTCTGTGGGAGCCATGTCGGTGCTAGAACTCTGGCTCACAAAGTCTTAAGGCAAGGATATTACTGGCCAAACATGCATAAAGATGCCACTTACTTTGTTCAGAAATGCCCGAAATGTCAATTCTTCGCACATCTAACTCACCAACCAGCAGAAGAACTCACGAACATGGTAGCACCGTGGCCATTTGCTCAGTGGGGATTGGATCTTTTAGGCCCATTCGTGAAAGGGGTTGGTGGTGTAACCCATCTGGTTGTTGGTGTGGATTATTTCACAAAATGGGTAGAAGCTCGGCCTTTATCTAGTCTTACCTCTAAGAAGGTCGAAGACTTTGTTTTCAGCTCGATCATCTGCAGATATGGGATCCCGAATCAGATTGTGGCCGATAATGGAACCCAATTCAATTGCTCTTCATTCTGAGATTTATGTTCCAGTTATGGGATCAAGTTACAGTTCACCTCCGTTTACCATCCAGAGTCCAATGGCATGGTTGAATTTGTTAACAAATGCATTTTAGAAGGTATAAAGTCGAGATTGGAATAGCATAAGGCCAAGTGGGCAGACGAGCTCAACAACATCCTCTGGGCATACAGAACCACGAGCCGAACTGCCACAGGTACTACTTTAAACCGAGTTTATTTGATTAATTTCTATATTATTTTCCTTCTTCTGTTATGCTTTACCTTAGAGCAAATATGCATAATGCATAAAGCGCATTCTAAAGTTATAATCAACTGAAATAGGTGAAACACCCTACCACTTGGCCTTTGGTACCGAAGCAGTCATTCTTGTTGAAATAGGAGTCCCAAGCCTCTGGGTCACCCATTTCGATGAAGGGCGAAATGGACAACTGCTTCGGGAAAACCTTGATCTGCTTGCTGAAGTCAGAGAAGAAGCTCGGCTTCGAACTCTTGTATACAAGCAGAAACTAGCCAACTTCTACAATAAACGGGTCCACCCTCGAACGTTCAAAGTAGGAGACCTGGTTCTCAGAAAAGCTGGCCTAACGGGGTTTGAAACTCGTTTTGGCAAACTTGCCCCAAATTGGGAAGGCCCTTATGCCGTGGCCGAAGTG